TTGGACTCCAGAGTTTAATAACTCAGAAGGCAAAAGACACACTTTATCTAATTCAACCTAACTTCCAAGTAAATGTACTTCGTCCTGAATTAGCTTACTATAAATCCATTGGGAAAGATGATACTGTATCTCCAGTTGAAATAGTTTTGGGTCACTACATAAATATATAGCAGCAATACTAATTTTTTCTCCTTATCTGAAAAGATGACTGAGATTATGGGTATTTTCACATGTCAGCTGTGTGTGACTAGCCTGATGCAAATAGTAATATATCAAAAGGGGAGATGGTAGTGGGTTAATGTAAGACAGAAATACAATGTGGTAGGCCTGGCAGTAGAGATAGGTCTTTAGATAGTTTTTAAAATCCGACAGCTCATTTTGCTATCGGAGCTCTTCCAACAGGTTGTTGCACAGTTTTAGGGTGGCTAATGAAAAGGTCCTTTGAGTGATAGTCGGCAGTTGGGTTCTGACTGGGTGGAGTAACCGCCCCATAGAGAACCTAAGTGTTTGGGTGGATTGTAATGCTTCCTGCCTGAATGAAATCCCATTTCTCCTGATTGTCAGTCAGAGCAGAACTCAGGTGAGAACTGTGTTGACCAAGAACTCTTGTTAGATGGTGAATGGCTCTATATTAACTTGGGAGTCTTTTCTGGGACCACCTACACAATAGGACTGTACAGTTCGAGTTGGGAAGGAGAAGATATTGCGCCAAGCCGCCCTAGGGGTAGCACATTCTTTGGTGGTTTTTGTAGGAATGCTTGTTATAGACATTAAATATAGTGCATCAGGCTTAGGGCAATATTGTAGTAGAAACCAGAGAAATGATTCTTGGTGTTCTTGTAGGGTTTTTTTTTTTTTTAAAAAAGAAACTATTGCGTATTGTCTCAGGAGATCCACTTTAGATCAGTAAGGGAAATGGAGAAAAAAAGTCCACCTATACTGGATTACAAGAGCTCTCATATTTGGAGGCAAGCTAGCATTCATTATTGATGTTGGAGCCTTGTGGGTGCTCTTTCCAGACAGACAAAGGAAAAAAGAGAAGGGGAAAGTGCAGGTAAGAAGCGAGCAAAAGACTTGAACACATAGACCAAAGAAAGATCCACAGAGGTGAAAACAAAGGGCAATCATTATCTAAATTCCTTTCTGTCACTGACTACTTTATACAAGTGTTGATGCCTCTTTGTTCCAACGGTCTTGGCTGCTGCAAACTCAGATTGATTTAAGATTGGCTGAATCCATAGGATTTTGAGATCCTGAGTATGGAATGTGGAAACCAATATGAACCCCTTTCCATGTATGCTGGGTTGCTGATTTTACAAGATTAGAAAGAAGGATTAGGGCCATTATGTTTATGTCCCACCCTGGGCTGGCCTAGGTAGCCAGTCTTATTTTCCAGTGGAAGTTGCTGTAGCAGGCTTGGCAGTGAAGCCTTCCTTCTCCTTCTCTTTACAGCCGGTGGAGGTTGGGGTGGGCAGCTGACCATTGCTATTCCAAATGTGAGAGTCTGGGGTGAGGTCCAGACAGTTATTATGTTTCAATTTACACTAGGACGTCTGGTATTTCCCCTCTGTTGTACTCCAAGCATACCCTGCAAACATCCTGACACCCCTCTTTCATGACCTTAGTCAGGGTTGATTGATTTGTGGCCTTAAAAAAACGGATACTAGCTTACGGGGTGTGTCAAAGTGTTTTTCAGTGTATGAGTATAGGAAACTAGTATCAGAATTATTCTTTCCTCTGATATAGTACCTAAAAACCTTTATCCAGAAATTATGAGGAAATGATCTGATAAAAGTATATCACTTGAGTAACTACAGGCAGTCTCTGAGGTATAAACATCCAACTTAAGTGAGAGAAATTTATCCCTAGGAAGGGAGTTTCGTTCCTGAAAGTTATCATGGGGAAAAAGTGTCTCCATTTAAGCTTTCTCACCAATCCTTGTTTCTACAACAATCCAGTTTTTTTTCAAAATCCAATTATCACAGGGACAGAAAGTGAGGTGAAATCTCAGACAGCAAAGAAGTACCACAGGGGTGTTAACTCTTCCCTAAGCTATTCAAAGACAGTCAGATAGATAGATAGATAGATAGATAGATAGATAGATAGATAGATATGGCTGGAGTTACACTGAAACATGTACTTGTTACGACTTACTTATGTATTCAACTTAAGAACAAATCTGCAGTGCCTTTCTTGTTTGTAACTTGGGCATTACCTTTATTAGGCTAACTAGTCCATGCAGTAAGCACCTTGGTGTACCTAATCTGGTATTTTCCCATTTGTCAAAATGCATTACTCTTCCCTTGGTCTTCATTATAAACTCTAAGTAGCATTGTTTTTTATCACAAGACAAGAGATCAAGTGTTTTGCAGGAGGGAAGCTGAGCATACTGGTTCTCAACACGAGGAGCAAAATATTTTCTGTACTATGAAAGGCTGAAGGGCAGGGAAGGATAAAACAGTCTAGATTATGTGGTTTACGCATGTGATTGTATTTGGTCAGGCTTCCATCTTTGGGTGAAATTTTATTTCATTTATTTTACAGTTCTCTGCTTACACACGTCCCTGTATCAGGGGAAGGGTAGGATAAAAATAAAGTAAATAAATAAATAATGTAAATAATGTTTTTCCCATCTCGGAACAGAAGACAGTGTATATAAGAATGAGGTAGTTTCCTTCCAAGCACAGAACTAGCATAGACCTGCTTAGTTTCGGTCTTGTTGCAGCTCTTCAGCCATATCTGTGCCACGGAACATAGGGCTAGGAGCAGGCAAATATCCACTTTTTGGTTATCTGTAGAATGCAGGGAAGAATTGGTTAATGTGGATCTTTGAGTGTTGGATCTGGACTCCAGGAGATCAGGGTTCAAACCTCTGCTCTTACATGGAAACCCACTTTGTGATCTTGAACAAATGGCACACTCTCAGCTTTGTCACACTTTCACAGAAGAAGTGACTTGCAGTTTTTCATGTCGTTTCTCTCTCTCACACATACACAAAATCTTGGACAAATCACACACTCTCAGCTTTGTCACACTTTCGCAGAAGAAGGCAATGGCAAGCCTTGTCAGGAAAATTTCATGATAGGTTTGTCTTCATGTTGCTATAACCCAGAAATTATTTGAAGGCACAGAACAACAACCACAAGTGAGCAAGGCCTCCTCTAGATGAATAATCAGGGAAGCTTTATTTTTCACTTAAATATTAAGCCAAACACGCATTTCAATTAACAGGTACTCAATGCCAGTTTGAGTCTCTGTTAAGAGAGAAGAAGTGGCATATCAACATATATAATAACATTTTCTGGTTATTATTTATCGTGTCATCAGCAACCATTGTATTACAATTCTAACAGAGCAAAACAAACACACAGATTAAAAAGAAAAAGGAAAAAAACACACATTTTGCAAATTTGGTATTTGGTTAAATGTCCTTTGAGCAGTATCTGGCCACTTGGAGTGCCTCTGGGGTTGCCGCAAGAAGGTCCTCCATTGTGCATGTGGCAGGGCTCAGGGTAAAGATAGTTCTTATTTATGTAGTAGATAGATGTACAATGAAAGTGTTGTGTGGGCTATTCTATATGATGGGTGGTTGGAAAGTACTGTATTGGACTTTGGTTGGAACTTAATGCCATTTTGGAGATGGCCTTTTGTGCATTGGTAAAAAGATACACGAGGAAATGGACATTGGCCGGGTCAAGTTATGGATTCTTAAACTATGCTTTAAAGGCACTGCTGCCCCATGCTCCAGCATTTCAACCCAGTGCTGTGGCATAGGCTATGCAGAAAGCTGTTTCTTGCAAGCAAAGGAACTGAGACACTTATGAATTGTCAAAGTGGGTTCAATGGTCTATTTTACTCCTTGTGAGCTGAGAACCAGTAACGAGTTAAAAGTTTCTGATTCAGAAATGGCTATTTAGTTGTCACATGTTAGAAGCAATGCTTTTAAGCACTGGGTGGGTAAGCCCTCTATTTCATATGTTCTGTGGTACTTGTAATAGAGTTACATTCAGACATGGTTGGTAAAAATGTATACTATATGTTAGTGGACCTTACCTTGGAGAGGTATCCAATATTACATGTTTATGGTGATATAGCTGAAACTTTGTAATAAATGTGCCAGACGTTCAGTAGAATAATAATATGGTACAGCTGATCTAGGAGTGTGACAGCTGAACTGTATTTGTTCTACAAAATGTAATCACGTACATCTGAACTTGACATTTCAATTTCTAAACTGAGAATGCTTTAGGGAGTAGTGTTTAAACCTAAAATAAAGATTAGTGAAACTGGGGCAACATGGAGTGCTTTGGGTTTTGAAGGCAGCCATAATTCATTGGTTGTGCTGGTTACTACTATTGGAAGTTGGAATTTAGCAGCCGGAGGGTTGTCTGATTCCCTTTCAACTATTCAGTAAATAGTTGGGATATGGAAGAAAACATGATATAGAGCAGGGGTCCTCAAACTAAGTCCCGGGGGCTGGATATGGCCTCCAGGGTCGTTTACCTCACTCAGGGTCAACCTAAGCCTGAAATGACTTGAAAGCACACAACAACAGTAATCCTATCTCATCAGCCAAAAGCAGGTCCACACTTCCCATTGAAATACTAATAAGTTTATATTTGTTAAAATTGTTTTTCATTTTAAGCATTGTATTGTTTTAAAGTTTTTTTTGCACTAAAAATAAGATATGTGCAGTGTGCATAGGAATTAATTCAATTTTTTTTTCAAATTATAATCCGGCCCTCCAACAGTTTGAGGGACTGTGACCTGGCCCTCTGTTTAAAAAGTCTGAGGACCCTTGATGTAGAGAGTGAAGCAAAATAACTACGCACAGAGAGGAGGGATCAAAAGGTAGAGATGTGCATAACATTGGAAGAAAATAAAGCTTGTGATCGACAGGTATATTAAATCATGTATCCAAATTCGGCTTACCTTAGCTCAGTGTAACTTTCTTTAACGTGATCTCAGGTTTCTAACTTTATTTTCCTTCTCCTTTCTAGGAATACATAATTCGAGTGCAAAGAGGAATTTCCATGGAAAATAGTTGGCAGGTAATTTTTTTTAACTATTATATAAACAAAACAAATAGCACTCCAGTCCCTTACAGCCAAACTTTCTGTACTGTCAGTTAATTCCCAAATGCCTATTTAAATTTTAAAGAAATATCTGCATGTATGCGTGCCTTCAAGGGGCCTGTCAACTTATGATGATCCCATTAATTTCATAGGGATTTTCTTAATCATGGAATACTCAGAAATGGTTTTGTCATTTCCTTCCTCTGAAATAAAGCCTATATCATTTGCCTAAAAGCAAAAAGAAAGATGATGGGGAGCAGCCAACTTCCTGTAGGAGGGCATTCATTCTATAATTGAGAAGCTGCCTTGGCGGACCTTTCCCTTGTTCTCATCACTTGGCCTTGTAACAATGATGGGACCATAAGAATGTGCCCCTACCCAAGGCAGTCTTATATAGAAAGATAGAGCTTTTTTAGGTAGACTTGGTAGCATGACTCTGTTCATTCAGCAGCATCCATGTGATGTGTGTGTTCAAATAATTTTTAAGTGGAAAAGGTTGTGCAACAGCATTACAACATCATGTGATGCTCTTGTTCGCTCTGTTCTGCATGCAACCTTATGTCACTCTGTCCCAAATCATTCAAACGAAACTCCTGATAGCTTTAAATGTTTCCAAGGCAATTACGATTAGTGAAGCTAGAGTGAATTATAAATATTTCATATTTCTTGCTACTGGATTAAGAGCCAAATCTGTATGAAACCAATTGCCTCTTATTTTATTTTTTAGTTTTGGATGGAGTATCCATTCAGGGTTATATTTTTATGTGACCTTCCTAGAAAGACCATATGATCTAAAGGGCTATTAAGTTCAAGACCAATGATAGCCCATGAGTTACTATTTCAGCCACCTCTATCATTCCCACTCCGTTTCAGGATAAGAATTCCAGACCAGAATATACCACAAACATAAGGACTAAACACCACAAGGTGTCTACCAATAAATCTCCAAATTATCCTAACCTCTTTTCAAGAGTAGTTTGTGTCTTTCTGTATTAGAGAGTCATAGTGTAAGCCTACCCTAAAGGAGTAGCATAGTGTTTTCAGCATCTCACCATAGAATTAAGAAGCAGGATACAAGTGGGGCCCCAATCGCAGGCTTCTTAATTAATGCAACACTAGGCGATATACCTTTATTCTGGTAATGCTCGTTGCCCTTTTCTCTCTTTCCCTAGTAGAAGTACTCACCTCAGCAAGCATTGGCTTTTCTAGGAAACTTGCCTTTCTCTTTTCACCTCTGTACCCCCAATTTTGGCACTGCTGGCTTCTGTAGCTTTTATTTTTGTTTTCCTCTCTAATCCATTTGTGTCCTGGTTAAATTTGTTCTTGGATGGCTGTATGTTAACCACACATGCATTCAAACAAGAGAGTTCTTATTGAGCACAGGTCTTTGATACATGTAAGCCAGGTGTTTTACAAGGATGCACATGGATTTCAAGGGAGAAACATGTTTGTCTTTGGACATAACATATCTATTAGTGGTAACAACATACTCCCAAGCAAACATGGAGTTTCTGTACTTTCTCGAGTGAGATTCCAAGTTCTGTGTTGCAAAGTTTGATGGAAAGAGTGAAAGATATATTTTTTTCTAAAATGAAAATGTCAAAATTAAAAACATGCTGAAATTAGTTGCATAGGCTTGTTTTTTTCTGGAGACTTTGCATTTTATAGAAACATGGATGTAGAAATAATGATTTGTTGTTTAGGTGGCTGGAAAGTAGCAAACAACCCATTAAACCTGAATAACAAATATTGGAATGTTATGGAGTGTGTAATTAACCTGAAGTGTGACATTTTGCAGGCAAGAGAATAACTACCCTGAAGGCAGTGAGCAAGAGAGCTTTTTCCTTCCATTCTCTAGAAAGGTTTTTTTCATGTACAGTCAGCCTACCACATTTTCTTGGGTTAGGGAAACAAGACCCTCATGAAAGTCAAAAACTGCAAACAAATAAATTGCTATATTTTATATCTAGGAATTTTTAGATCTTTTAAATCAATTTTAGATCCAGTAGGACTCTAATCGACTTCTGCTGGAAGCTGGCTACATGATTGCATTGGAGGAACTAGGGAGATGTTCTCTCTATACATCTCTAGGTCTTCCAGCATGACTGCAGGAAGTTGACTATAGAATCACACTAGAGCACCTAGAGATTTCGAAAGAGAACATTTTAAATCAAATCTGCAAACGTCAAAACCTCAAATGTGGAGGGATGATTGTAGTAATGTTCCTCCCTATCTTCCTCATGGAACCTTTGTACCAGTTAATGATATTCTCCTGAACTGATGTGCTGATTAGAGAATTTTGAATTGATACTGTCCTGAGATGTACAATTGTATCAGAAATGTATTGTTTCAGCATTATTTCCCTGTTGTTTTGCAGATTATAAGACGATACAGTGACTTTGATTTGTTGAATAATAGTTTACAGGTAAGAGCTTTTTCTTTTTTATACCAAACTATTTAAAGTTAGTGATACACAAATAAAATAGTTTGTGTGATTTATATGTTTTTATCAGTCTCTAAATTACACTGCCGTCTGTCCCAAAATCTGCTCTTTAAATACATTATATAATACTTGTTTTATATGTATTTACTATCAAAATAAGAATTTGTATGAATTTATATGAAGATGCTAGCTACAGATGCAGGTAAAACATCAGGAGAAAATGCTGCTAGAACACAGCCATACAGCCCAGAAACCACACAACACCCCAAATTTATATGATACTTCATATAAACTACATAATAAATTACATAAAGTAAATCAGCTTAACCAAATCTCTTCAAATGTTTTGATGAGGGTTTTGTGGCCAGGAACTGCTTGGAAAATTGGAAAAAAAAAAGTGGGGTTAAGTAATTAAAATTCAAAACCACGTATTATTCTGGATGGTAAGATTTTTGTTTTAGAATTTGCAAACTTTTTATGCCCTTCCTATTTGTAGTACTGCTTCTATAATTTTAAAGGAGCATTTCCATGTGGATCAGTGAAAAACAAATATTCTAATAAAGGAAAGATAGAAAATACTTGAAAAAAGACTTGCAATTTGGATGAGGAAAGTGCTAATTACAAATAATAAAGAACCAATCTGTTAGACCAAAACCCATTTGCTGGTCCTAAACAGAGTGCATGCATTGAGTCAATTGCTGAATGGCAAATCAATATTTAACTAAATATCATTAATCCTGAGAGCCTGTTCTTCTTGGGAACTAATGATTGAACTTAGACTCTGGAAAAAATAAGGTTTTGCTAGCCAGTCATTTATTCTTTTATTTAATACATTTCTGTATCACTCCCCAGGCAAGCTACAACAAATAAAAACATTTAAATACATAGATGCAAACTTCTAAAACAAGCTAACCCCACTTTAAAATAATTTAAGATTTAACTGTTAAAATAGCTAGAGAAATATAAGGCCATGCAGAACAGCACCATCTATATATTCCTAGTAACCTAGAGTCTGACCATTTGAAATCTGGATGAGGATGGTGGCAAATGTGATGGAATTGAAGACGCTGATACCAAGTATTATCCTAAGTTTCTTCATCATTTGTGACTAAAATAATCCCTTTTCTGCTATGCTTGCACAAGCAAAAAGTCATATTAAACTTAAGCACTGAAATGCAGTATGTGCAATTGTTTTGCCCACATCCGAAGTACTTTCTGATGCTTTTCATCCTGCAGTGTTTTTTCTCTGTTACTGAGGATGTCCTTTCATTTTCCAGACACTGCAGCTACTGTGTCCTCGTACTCTCTCCGGACACTGATTTCCTTTTAGTGTGTGTGGGAAAATATAGGGAAGGGGCTGCATAGTGAAGAAATGTTCAGTGACTTGCAGGCGGATGAGGGAAGTTAGGCATTACAGAATTTCATCAAAATGGATTTCGACAGTTCCTTTCACTCACTTCCCCCTACTTTCTGTCAGTTGCAGATGGTACAAGAGTTGTCTTAGTGTGGGTTGAGTCATTGAAGCTAGTATACAACTGGATGGGGGTATATTGTAATACTGAAATCACAGAATGGCAAGAACGGGTATGCTCTTGAACTTCTATATGTTTTGTTGATTGACAGTATAGAAATTGTATTGCATATAGTAAATTATATTACAGGAGCAATGCTAGGTTCCTAGGAAGGGCATCTGATAGATGCTCCAGACTTCTCTTTTTATGGGTAGAAGGTTACTGGTTAGCAGGTAGAACTCCTTCTGTGACACTGGAAAACTAATTTGCTGTTTCACATATAATATCCTGAGCCCTGAAAATGGGTGGATCAATGGGATCATAAGCTTTTTCATTTATGGATTCTCCCCATAGCATAGTTAATTCCCTATTATTCATCACAAGAGGGAAGAAGAACAATGGTTTGGAAGAGATAAGAAAAAGAAATTATACTACCCACCAAATAACTTCCTCTCTGACTACAGGAACCCCTGAGTGTAGGAGCTTTTTGGATTTTGCAATAATTACATCACGGAATTCAGTCTTTCCTGTTAGGAATGGTCCCAAAGTCCTGGAAAGCATTTGAATTTCATTTTACGGTAATTGGTACTTGTTTGGGCAAAGATGGATAATTTCAAAACTAAGGCAAGCAAAATGTTATTTCTTGATTGTTTTTAAAAACTGACTGCCATATGCTTTGTGATTTGCTCTTAAGTTGAAATCGGAATGTGGAAGAATCACAATCATTTACGTCAGGAGTGGGCACCTATTATGGGTTCGTATGCCAGTTTTCTGCCCCTGGAACCATTAGGGGGGCTGCCTGGATTGACAGAAAAGCCCCCAAAAGCAAGCCTCCCCCAAAGAGCCTAGAAATCCACTTCTGGTGGAGTGCACCCACCCATATAGTATGGTGGCTTGATTGTTGGACCAGAAGGCTGGGAGTCCAGGGTCTGACTCCCTGCTTGGCTATGTAAACCACTGGGTGATGTTTCTCAAGTCACTTTCTCTCAATAAATGCAGATCCTCTCTGAACAAATATCCCATGATAGGTTCACCTTGGAAAACCCTGTGATAGGTTCACCTTAGAGATGTCATTAGTTAGAAATAACTTGAAAGCACACAGCTACCACATTCTTATCTGTCTTTTCTTGTCTATCTCATTTATTTATTTATTTCGGGCTGTTGAGTAGTTCAGGAAGCCCCCTGCAAACTGTTTAGAAATGATTTGCCATTTCCAGGATAGACAGTTCTCCCTATTCATCCTTCTTTTTGGCTAGTAGTTTGGTAGTTTGGTGAGATCAAGGGATGCAAAAACACCTTTAGGGCATGCATGCTTTGTCCGCCCACAATGTATATGTTCTTTCTTATGCTTGTTTCTTGCATTAGTGCTCCATTCTCTTTTAGCACTTTGCTTTGTAATAACTTTTTTAGTCAATCTGGTACATTAATAGGAAAGAGTTTTATAATATGCTTCATCACCTAGGTTCCATAGAAATTCAAGGTTTTTCAAACAATGCATACATTTATATATTAATGTATATGAATGCACATATGCTTTGAATATATCATGGACTAAACCAGAATATATTGTCTCTGGTCTTCTGTTTCTTATTGACTGTAGTCTCATGATTCTTCATCACTGGTCATTCTGGGGAGGACTGATAGACATTTAGCTCCTCTGAACTGAAAAGTCTCATTATCCCTAGCATGGATTATATAAACATCGCTTCAGCAGAAAGACACTAAATTGCTTTTCAGGAAAATTGGGTACGTTCAGGGAGTATTTCTCTTGAAAAACATCCTCCAAACAAAGGAAGCTGCAATTTTGCTGTAAATGCAAATTCTGTGAACCTTCCTTCCTGTTTCCTCTATGCAGACTCATAATTCCTTTGAAAAATTAATACAATTCCTTCTGATAGGAGATTTGGTGCTCCCCTGCTCCCTTCCGGCAGGCAAAAGACCCTTTTCACACTATTCGTTCCTTTGACTTATAGTTTATGTAGGAGAAAGGGCTCTTTATGTGTTTTATGTTTATATTTTATACTATATTTTAATTATGGTTTATATTCTTTTAACCTGGTGCTTCTGAGTAGCTTAATTATTTTAAATCTTTTGTAAAAATATATTTTTTAATTTTTTGAAAGCTGCTTTGGATCCTATACAAGGAGCAAAGGGGAATAAAAATTAAATACTGGTAAAAGTGTTTTTAAAAGGGAGAAATGAATTGTGTTCTCTCTTCCTCAATAAAATAAAACCCTAATGTTTGCAGCTGCTTTATTTGTTTGTTTTGCCCCACTTTTCTCCTGGTAGAGGGAGATGTCTTATAAAATGAATAAAAGTAGGCTACAGCTAAAATCTGGGCACTTGCAATGCTGAAAAAAATACATGGTCCTAGGCAAATGTAATTCTGAATGAAATGTGATTTTACCATACAGCAAAAAGCGGTTGGGGAGTACACCACCTACCACAGTGGTTCTTAACCCATGGATCCCCAGATGTTTTGGCCTTCAACTCCCAGAAATCCTAATAGCTGATAAACTGTCTGGGATTTTTGGGTGTTGTAGGCCAAAACACCTGGGGACCCACAGGTTGAGAACAACTGACCTACCATTTCTATAGCAAGATGTTAATGACTTGGTCTTGTGACACAGAGTTGGTATAGTGTTCAAACTGTTGTTTCGTGGCCAATAGATACAACATTTTCATGAAACTGTGACCTTTTTTTTAATGGAGGAAGCAAACTTTTTGTAGTGAGCCATTACTCTTGTTAAATGTGACTCAGACTCTTCTATGCACTTTTTGCTGGCTTTATACTATTTGTATACTTTATTTAGTGGCTCTCTTCCTCTTTCAGCAGTGTGGCCCTTCATGAATTGTGGCACTGGAACTATCCACATTGTTACGTGTTAGTTGTGATGACTTGGATAGGTGAGAGTTACCATCCAACAGCATCTGTAGGGCAGAATTTTGCTCAAATCTTTGCTTAAATGAAGACCCAATGGCATGGACTTGGAACTTAGGAGTAGATTTGATGGGGAAGAGTTTGCTTTCAGTCAAGGACAGACCATTTGTCCCTTTGGAGATATCATTGATTGCAACTTCATCAGTCCTAGTTAGCCTTTGGGCACTGGGCAGGAGTGGGGAGAGCTACAGACTGACAAAAGCTGGAAAACCAGAAGTTTCCCAACCTTGCCATGCAACAATCATCTGAATCATCAACACAGATTAGTTTGGAGAAACACCTTTTGTGTTTTGTGTGCCAGGGAAGCCCTAGGGCCACATCTGGTATCAGCTGGTGGGATAAGAAAGCACAGGAAGGGATTTAACCTTTGTCCTTCCTGTGTAAAATAAAGTATTTCTTTCTGTGGGTGGCTGGTTCTTAGCTGTTTAAGAAAGAAGACAAAGGGAAGAACCAGTCAGAGTTCCTTTGATTTACTGTTTCAGAAATATAGACACTTTCCTATTTGGGGGGAAAGTTGGCTACAGAATTTTAATCCCGACCGATATTTCTGTAATGGCTGTTACAGTTTAGCAGAAATTAATGTACAAGCTTTGAAGAAGCCTAGTCACTTCATTATGCTAATGCTTGCTAATTAGATTCTTAAGAAAACACATTCTTTTTCTAGTGACACTTCACTGCCGTCTGCATTTTTAAAAATCTTGCTTTCCTGCAGTTTTCTTTCCTGTAACTACAGTTTCAGAATCTTTACCGTGAAACTGAATGTTTTCCTGGATTTTATTTATGATTCATTGTTTCCTTTATGGAATTTTACGGAGATGATGAGTAATACTAAACTACTTCTGTCTCATTTAGTAGAAAAATGGGTTCAGAAGGGAAAGATGGAATAGCTCTGTCTTACCTTTTGATTGATAGTTCAATGAACCCTCCATCTGGGAATGCATATTAAATGAAAGCTTTGTCACCTTGTAGAAATCTCTAGGAGAATAGCAATTTTGCTGAGGTAGGAAGAATTGGCTGGCTCTCTAGATTTGCTTTTGCAAGAAAAAAACCTGGAATCTTTCTAAATCTGCTGTTCTGAAAACATAAAGAAAATAACTCCCAAGTGTAGAACTCTTCCATAAACTCTGATTTCTTTTTTTAAGCTCATGTAGTTTGGGCTTTTTGGACTATATGGTATTAGCATTACATTCTTATCTGGAGTTGTTCTCTTGTGATTGAATCAACCTTTCCCCCCCCTGAAAGCTCATTTATACAAAAAAGCTCTTATCCACTTTGATAAGGCTACAGTTGTGTCCCAGTGCCATTTCCCCCACTCCTTCCCCACAAATGTGAGGCTAAGTAAATGTTATCTATCCACTGGAATAAAAAACAACAACCTTGAGATGAGGAGGGGATTTAGGAGCCATTGTGTAGTGGTCATGGTACTGGTTCTTACCTTCATCTGCTCTCTAGCTTGCCACAAAAATATTCAAAATTTCTATGTTTCGGTTGTGGAAAATAACCAACAGTGGTCTTTCTGTGATGTTGTAAATAATCTCTTTTCTGTTTGGCAGTTTGTGGTATATATAGAATTACCCTGTAGCACTACATTTCAAAAGAGTTGAGGTTTTTCCCTGTTAGCTTTCCTCACTGCCAGGCTTTCACAACAACACATAGAATGTAGAAATACTATGGTATGGGTTATTCAGACTTTGATATTTAGTGATATAATGATCAAAGGATTTGGAAGCCAAGCCCTATGGGGAATGGCTGAGGGGGCTGGGTATGCTTAGCTTGGAGAGGAGAAGGGATTTCGTAGTAATGTTTAATTATTTGAAAGAATGTCTCATTGAGGAGGGCAAAAACTTGTTTTTTTGCTGTTCTAGAGCACTGCTTCTTAAACTATGGGTCGCAGTCCCAAATGGAACCTCCTTAACTTAGTGTTGGGGCCACAAAAAATTGGCAACAATAAAAGGTTTTTGATGTTTCCCATTTACATCAACTGTTAACAACAACATGCAGTGCTTATAGTGGACTCTAAAGAAATAGCTTCAGCTGTACTTCATAAAAAGGAAAATCAGCCTGTTTAGTAAAACTTGCAAAAAATTCACAAATGCTGATTTTTTTTATCAGTAAATGCTTGATTTCTATACCTATTTTATATACCTATATATATCAAGGGGTCGCTAAGTCAAAAGGTTTAAGAAGCCCTACTCTAGAAACTAGGACATAAATCAATGGATTCAAACTGCAGGAAAAGATATTCCACATAAACATTAGGAAGAATTTCCTGATGGTAAGAATTGTTTGACTTAGAATATGCTGCCTCTGAATGTGGTGGGGTCTCCTTCTCTGGAGGTTTTTAAGCAGAGGCTGGAAGACCATCTGTCAGGAGTGCTTTTATTGTATGTTTTTGGATGATAGATTGGGGATTGAACTGGATGGCCCTCATGGTGTCTTCCAACCTATGATTCTCTGATTATAATCTTACCCAATTCCTTCATAGTTGCCCTTCCTAGATCCAAAAGCTTCTTCTGATTTTTTGAATAAAGTTTCCATTTAGAGTGATAATTCAGCCAAAGCAGAGGAAATCTTGAATTATATGATAATGCATTTTAAAATTATGTAAGCATCAATAATCGTTATTTGTGTTTTCTTAATATTCAACAGAAACCGTGTGTTTGCAGTTTCTGTCTTAGCTTTCATCAATCATTACTCCAAGTCTTCCATTTTCTGTGGTGTCATCTGTGTATCTTAAAATATTGATAATCCTGCCCCCAATTTTTACATTACCTCCCTCCAGATTTAATCCCATTTTCCATTTAATATGTTCTGCATATAAATTGAACAGTTAGGGTAATAAAATGCAGTTTTATCAGGTTTTCCTGCATATTGGAGTCATTCTGTTTCTCCATATTGTAATACAGCCTCTTATCGAGGCTATTGGTTGCCCAATGAGATAATGAAATGTTGAGGTAAACACATTTCTTTTAGAGTCATTCATTGTTTTTCATGTTCTATACAATCAAAGGCTTTATTATAATCTAAAAGCACAGTTTGCTAAATCTCTTTTTAGCCATCACTTTGTTTGCATGGAGATTAATGCAATGAGCTATAGGCCCTTTTATTGTGGATCAGAATGGTTATTGAGCAATCTGTGAACCATTGTTTTCTTCTCCATGGTTGTTGACATTTTTTTTTGTTAGAATTTGGTTGGATTTTATCTCTATAGCTTAAAACAGTTGTATTGGAATTCCCTATCACTGTATTTGATCTCCATTCACTTTAAAATATTAGCAGAACAGGGATTCTCCCCTGTTTCCTTAAGGACAAAACTTAAAGGAAACACGAACAATCTTTGTGAATGATTTCAAAAGATGGGTGCCATTAGAAACTCTGTTCCTCTTAGAAATTAGTTGGATTTGTAATTAAATATTATAAATATTATAATATAATTACAAATAATACAGCCTATGCTTTTCTTTAGGACAACAGATTAGCACAACTGTTACACTGCACAATTTCACTCTCACCTAAAGATGAAAAAATACTCAAAAATACTGAAAAACTTTTTTTGCAATGTCGAGAAATCCTGATGAGGAAAATTTTGGACTGATGAAAATTTTGTGGTTGTTGTTTTATGCAAGAAACAGAAATTCTAGTGCAGGAAAAAGCAGAATGCATACAGCTAGACACCACTTTAACTGCCATGACCCAATGCTATGGCATCATGGAAGTTGTAGTTTTACAAGATCTTTAGCATCAAAGAGTATTGATGCCTCACCAAACTATGTTTTCCAGAATTACATAGCATTGAATCATTAGAGTTCAAGTGGTGTCAAACTGCATTCCTTCTATACTGTAGATGCACTCTTAGTTAAGTATTACATTCCTAGTTCCCACTCCATGTGCCTTGTCAACCTACAAGATGCCCTGGTACAAAAAATATGCCAATTTAAATGAAGACAAATCCCTTCATAAGTTTTACTAAAGTGAAAAACCAAGAGTCACCAAAAGAGAAAATGTATTTTGTTATGTCCTTAGCATTGTTGTATTTGCTTATACTTTGGGTACTGTGAAGGTTTGGTGCCTGTATTCTGTTGTCTAACTTGTGTTTTAAGAATTTGCATCTTTTAGTATTCTTATGTATTCAATCAGCTTCCTGTTTATCCAGTCAGCTCCAGTTTTTTTATTCATATATGCATGATATCTGCTTACAAAATCTTTTTACAAGGTATCTATTCTGTTATTCTGTATTTGTAGTTATAATGTTAATCCAGACTAAATTGGCATTTTATATGTGGCTTTGCTTTGGAAGAGCGAATAAACCATCCATTAAAACCTTTCTACCCTTTAAAAATGGATCCTTTATTGACATCTTGACTGATGTAACAAAATTAATGATTAAGATGAAGCTGGCTGTTTGAATGCAATGCTATCATATTTATGGCATATAGTGAGGTTTGCTTTTGTATCTCTGTTCTGAGTTCATAATGACCAAATGTAAATTATGTGACCATATTTTCAACTAGTTCAACTGAGTTTCCAGTTCAGATCTTTAGTCCTGCCTTTCCTTCCTTCTGGTGTGGTTGCAGAGAAGAATTTGCAATGTCCATGTTGGAAAAGCTAAAGCTTCATTCACTTCATGTGGAATTGAGAAATGTTACTTACTTTTCAGTATAGTTTGGAACAAGCTAACTTCAAACCATTTGTTATAAATTATTCTTTCCCCAGTGAACTATGGTTAATAAAATAATCACAGTTTAGGATATATTTGTAATGTTAAATTGTGATTAATAAAAGAATAGAACTAAAGGCCTCCAGTCTTCTTGCTTTTGTACTCAAAGAGGAAGACAGCACACAATTACAAGACAAAACAGGATTATTACGTTTTCTAAATGCTGTCTTTATTATTTGGAAGGTGACTATTACTTTTTTTAATATAAAAAATAGAGACTTGTAGCTCTTGTGTTTTCTCTTAATACCTAGCACTGGATCTTTTCAATTCAATGTTTTTGTTTTCAAGGTTTCTGCTCTAAGCCTACCTCTTCCTCCCAAAAAGTTAATTGGAAACATGGACCGTGAATTCATAGCAGAAAGACAGAAAGGACTTCAGAACTATCTCAATGTAATAACTTCCAATCATATACTGTCCAACTGTGAACCAGTAAAGAAATTTTTGGATCCAAACAACTATTCTGTAAACTACACAGGTAAGACAATGGTCTTGAATCTTCTTTTCTAAACTTTTCTTCATGAAGATAAATGAACAATTAGGAAGTGAGTGGGACTGAGACAGATTCTCTAAGGGTGGGATATCAGTCTACATCTGGATACATATAATCAGGCAAGGGAAATGAATGGTAAAGTGCTATTACATTGCACTTACACTAAAAATTAACTAAAAATCTATGTTGATTACATTTTGTTGAAAAGATTTTGTTTTGATTGTGCCAGTTGCTGCTGGGAAAGTGTGGATGGGATTCAAGGGGGGATTGTGAATTTTAAAGACTATTTTAAGTGTGTGTATTATATTTTAATCTATATATGCCAGATCCACCCAATCTTAACACAACCTCATCACCAGTACCAACCACTCCACCAAGAACGTATTGCAAGAAATCTGTTTTGAAAAACAGTGACAGTTTATCAGTTAGAGCCCTCTTTGCATTCTTGTTTCCAGTAATTCTTAATAATAAGGGACTCAGGGCAGCTTACAAAGGAACAAGCCCAGAGAGCACAGAGTTAAAACATAATGCAATAAAATTAAATTAAAACCAAACCAAATAGAAACATACCACAATAAAACATAACATCTTAAAAACAGTACCATGGAGAGCAATAAAAATGCTGAGTTCAGAGGGCTCTGAGTTTGTGCAAAATTCCTAGATTGAGCTAAGGAAACGTGCAAAATTCAGTGGGAGGGATGGGAGAGTAATGTCCTTGGGCATTAAATTGTCAGGATTTTAAAGCAGAGGGCCATGCTAAAGTGCCGGAACTTAGATATTATTGGGCCAATTCTTTGGAGCTGCCTAGTCAAAGGCACATGCTTTTATGCTCTTACTGAAGGAGGACAGGGTAGGTTCCAGAGCCGGGGGCCACGACTGAGAAGACCCTCTCTCTTGTGCCCACCAACCATGCTTCCGAAGGAGGTGGAAGCGAGAGGAGGGCCTCTCAGGATGATGTTAGTGTTCATGTTGGTTCATAGGGGAAGATTCAATCGCAAAGATAGACAGGTCCTGAACTGTTTAGGGCTTTGTAGGTAATCACTTTCACCTTGAAACTTACTGGCATCCAGTGCAGCAATTTGAACAAGGGGATTGRCCGCTCCCTGTAAYTTGCTCCAGTTAGTAATCTAGCCRCCAATCTTTGCACCAGTTGCAATTTCTGGGCCGTCTTCAAGGGCAGCCCCACGTTTTGCTCTTACTTTTCCATTCCCCCCCCCCCTTTAGTCTCTCTATTGATTACTCTGATTTTTGTCATTTCCTTCTTCTATGTACCCTCCTCCCCACTTTGAGTATATTAGTCTTGTTTGATTTTTCCCTGCTCTTTCTCCACTTGTTTCTCTTCCCTGTCTTGTCGCATCTGTCAAGAGTTTGTTTTTYCCTCCCCTGCTCTCTTTTGGCAAGCAAAGCCTTCTTTTCTTGTACCTGAAGGCAGCAGGCCCCAGCCATCCCCTTCCTGCACCTCCCCCCCTCACATTTTTCACCTGTCATGTAGTGAAACACTCAGAGAGCAGAGGGAAGGAGGGCAATGCAGCAAAGGAAACACTATCTGAAAACACTATCAAAAACAGCTACCATATTACCCAAAGTTCTGATGGGAAAAAAGATAGTTTACATTCTAACTAGCCTCCCCAAGCCCCTGTGATGAAACATTAATTATAATAATCACTACACTTGATCTCATTCAAAAGGCAGAGGAAGCCAGTCTCTGCACACAAGGAGTTTCTCTCTTTCCTGAAGGGACTTGAAATACTTGACATCAAATTGAAACCTTTGTATTCATTTTAAAGGGCAGATGGATATAGGGCTGAAAGTGCATTAGCTTTTGCAATCTGCATTGTATTGATACCACTAATGACATTTTAAGGGAAACTCAGACATTTATAGGATTCCAGTTTAAGTGCAACTTACATGTGTAGAAGTACTGTAGAACTGATGCTAAGGAGTCTTTTAAGAAGGTGAGATGAAAGGTGGTAGTTGGCCAGAAGAGCTTCAGTGGGCTAACTTTATGTATTTCCATAACAATGATGAGGAATTCAATTTTTTTTTAAATAAACATTATTTCCATTGTAACTTGTATTGAAATCTCAAGTGTTAAAGTATTAGCCCCCACTTCCTTTTTTAGAAAACCACGTTTTCCCAATTCACTTGATCTATGCCTAACCAGCTTTTGCTCAAAAGTCAAGTATGTTGATACAGTTCCATAGTGTTTTTGTATGCTGTTACTTGTAGGTAATCTCTGGTTTACTCATTATTCTGGAGCATTTTCACCAGTTACTACAGCAGTTTCTCAAGTCACTCCTGACACGGAAAAACAAACAAACAAACCAGTTACATTCACTACTCTTTTTGGTTGTTATGCCACTGAACCATTAAGGTTTATGCAGTGAATACCATTGGATTCCTGCTTCAAGCTTGCTAATATATCATCAGTCTTGCAAGCCAATTCCAGGCAGCTGGATAATTTGGGTGGTTAGAACAGGTCAGGCCAGTGCACCAAAAATAGAAGGCAGAATGTAATGACAGAAGAAAATTCTGAGGGAAATTCTGTTATCAGGAATCTTGTTCTTGTACTTAAATGTTGTCCTGTCTTTTTCGAGTATGGGAAGCATCCAGATACCATCGGCAACGTGCATTGTTCCAAATAGCCAGGCTTTCACAGCTCTCTCCACTTTTTTAAAAAATCTGAGGGAATATTAAAATGTCAGCAGGAGACCTCTGTGTATTTAAAACTGACGAGCTGAAAGGTTGTCAGTTCAATATTGGCTCATGGAAATGCCTGCTTGCCTGTGGTGTCCTTGTCAGACTGTCCTGGTTAAACACTTCATAGCCCGAGGCCTTTCTCCCCGGCGTGTATGGCTTTCATCCTTGTAGATGAAACACCTGAGTCCAGTGGGGTGACTTCGAGTGAGAAATGTTGTTGTTAATTTTTGATTTTTCTTACTGCTCTCTCCCTGCTGTGATGCAGCCTTCAGTATTGATGCAAAGAATATTTATTTTTTAGAACCAAACTGTAATCTCAGCACAGCTTTTTTATGTGTGCCTGTGTAGTAGAGAAAATGTAATGAATTGCAGATATTTCAGGCAGATGAGAGAGAGAGAGAGAGAAGAGAGAGAGAGAGAGAGAGAGAGAGAATGAATCCTTTTAATGTGGGCTTTAAAATGTGCTTGTAAACTAAAAGCATTTAAAAACAGATTACAATGCATGGCTGGCTTTCATTTTGGAGGTTAAATGTATTGTTTCAGCATACCGTTGGCATGACTGCAGAGCTTAGAAAGATTCCTTTTTTGGACTCCAGCTACCAGAAGCATCCAGCCACTAGGGCCATGCTGACTGTGGGATTACCAGTAGTGTTAGTCTAAAAAGGTAAAGATTCCAAGCCTTCTATGAGTGCAGTCAGGCCTTCACATTCACGAGTTTTACTTTTGCCTTTCTCATTATTCAGAGATCTGATTGATATGGTTTCTCTCTAGAAATCGCTAGGTCCTACAGTGTGATTCTATGGCCAGTTTCCACCTGAGGTTGACTTAGAGTTATGCTGGAGGACCTAGAGATGTGCCCTTAGCCTCAGTGAATATGGAGGGCTGACTAAGACGCCAAAAATCTGGACGTCGACGCAACATACCTCCTTTCTCTTCTGTCTGTCTCTGTATTGTCTGTCCAAAAATGGCATTGAATGTTTGCCGTGTATGTGTACTGTGATCCACCCCGAGCCCCTTGGGGAGATAGGGTGGAATATAAATAGTGTTGTTGTTGTTGTTGTTGTTAATATTATTATTATATTTCAGTTAAAAGGCAGCTAACTTAGGACTGACTGTGAAGTGGTTGTTCTTGCATTCATCGGTGGGCTACTCATGTTTCTTTTTAATAGCAATTTTCAGCATTTATTGCCCTCATGAAAACCTACCGATGGCTGCATCAGGATCTCTTGTATAGGACCACATCCAAAATCCATTTACATATTAAAATAGATAACTTTTTTTAGTTCTCCCTTGAGTGAACCAGAGAAAATCCTTGTGATTCCAATTTATGTTTTAATTTTTGAAGAAAACATTTTGTTTATCAATGATACTTATTAATCTGTGTCTAACAGCTCTCCAAAAATTATCTTTGCAGAAATTGCCTTACAACATGTTTCAATGTTCTTTCGATCGGAGCCAAAGTGGGAAGTAGTGGAACCGTTAAAAGATATAGGTAAGGGTTTTGCTTTTGTGGTAAAGTGATTGCACCACAGACCTCAGAAATTTGCTAGTTGCCTAGACCAGCAATATGTTTTCTAACTAGCGACTGTGTTTGTTGCCAGAGGCCAAACTACATCAGTCATGCAACTAAAATGTATCTGGTTTTAAAAATGTAAAGAACTGGGTATTATGAGAGGTGAACGGATCCCTGATGGGAAGAGGGGAAATCCTTTCCTCACAATCATTTGACTTTTGCCATTTAAAACTTCAATTCCAATAGAGATAACAGGTATATGAGCTATGATCCAGTTTGAGACTTTAGTAAGGAACAAAGGATTAGTGTGCCATACTTACCTGCCCCAATCTACCAGGGTTGTGGTATAGGGTGGTTTGGTCTGGAATAGCATTATTTATTGTTTAGCCCTCAAGAAAAAATATTTTCCTCCTCCTGCTGCTGCTGTTGTTGTTGTGTGCCTTTGAGCTGTTTCCCACTTATGGTGATCCTAAGGCAAATATATCATGCAGTTTTCTTGGGCTGAGAATGTTCCCAAGGTCACATAGTGAATCGAATCCCGCTCTCCACAGTCATAATCTGATGCCCAAACTATTCCACCATGCTGGTTCTCACCCTGTAGCTTACACTGTTTTAACTTCCAAAGCAAGTGAACCTGTGCCCTTTATATATGATCCTTTTCTTGCTCATTTGAGGAAGCAAAAAGAGACAGGGCAATGTCCAGTCAGACTACTTATGAATTAAGTTGCTTTTGTGCAGAAATGGGATCTTAGCAATTGTACTTTTTCAGACTGGGTCTTACGCACAAACCTTTTCCAAGTTCTACTACAATAGTAACATGTAAACTTTCTTTTAGGCTGGAGGATACGCAAGAAATATTTCTTAATGAAGATTAAGAATCAACCAAAGGAGCGGCTAGTTTTAAGTTGGGTAAGTTTATTTCCTTTGTGGTTTTTATTTCTCCTTCCAAAATTGCATCATGGATCAACAACTTTCTTTTTGGTCCCCCCCCCCCCCCCCCCCCCATACAGACTGTGTGTGTATCTGTCATTTTGTCTGGAGCTATTATACTGCTGTGATGAGGGCAGTGTTAATTGTAAACTGACACACAGCAGAAGAAGCCAAATGAGAACATCTGTGGACCATAGCAATGGTCTCTGTGAAAGTTGCTCTGTTTATAACTTGCACAGCCCAGTGATCCCAGAGGAGATGTGTTGTTATACAGAACCTGTTCTTTACTCCAGTCTTCTGTCTGCTTATAATTTGCTAAAAGTAGGGGCATGGCCAAATACGAAATACGTCTAAATCCAAAATAAAGGGAAAATATGCATATATTACACACACTTAACCTAATTCAGTGGATAGAGATGAGAGAAAATGAGAACAATGAAGTGTGTGTGAAGCAGAGATGGAAGTATGTAGCTGTATAATTTGCTTCTAGTAGGGGTCTGTTATGTATACACCACCAAAGTGTAAGGTGCAGATGAAGCTGGAGAAAAGAACAGATAATAACAAGGATGAAATTGTTCATGGCACCTTTCTGCACAGCAGCTGGATCAGAAAGACAATGGTGTATCTACACAGTAGAAATAATGCAGTTTGACATTACGTGTACTGCCCTAGCTTAATTTTATGGAATCATAGGAGTTGTAGTTTTACAAGGTCTTTAGCCTTCTTTGACAAAGATTGCTGATGTCTTACCAAACTAGTTATCCCAGGATTCCATAGCATTGAGCCAGGGCAGTTCAAGTGGTGTCAAACTGCATTATTTCTACAGTGTAGATGCACCCTTAGACCTCTTACATAGCTTTCAATGTCACTGTTGGTCCTTAGAGGTTCATATTACTGGGGTCTATTTAAAAACACTCTTTTGTAGTCTGAAGAATGCATGTGAATCCAAACAAACCCGGCCCAGATTCCTCTTACTGGATTTGGAGACTGGGGAGGAAGAGATTAGTGATTCCACAGCAACAGTGACATGAACTGTCATTTCATCAAAATATACCTAACTGGAAATTGAGCATTGTTTGCATGCCTATTCTTGCTATGGGACAATAATAAATTTAAAGAAACGCTTTATAAAAAAGATACAAGTTCCTAGGTGCTTCTGTGAAGTAGCTACTTAAAAGCTTGAATAACACAAGGAGTAGATGTTGGTTTTTTAAAGAGTTTGTTCAAACACAGTATCATTTGTATTTTCAGGCTGACCTTGGCCCAGACAAATACATGTCTGACAAAGATCTTCAGTGTGCTGTGAAATTTATTTCTTCTTGTTCTGTGAGTAAAACAAAAAAAAAAACCATACATTATACTTCTTCATTGCCATAATACTAGATTCAATGGAGATCAGTTGTGAGAAAGCTACTGTGCTCTACCTTGATTCTAAACAATGATGCTATGAATTATTGTTAATGATTTTGGGCATTTAGAGAGGTGGGTTCATAGCTGTGGAACTCTTTCCACATTACAAATGTCTCTCCTTTCAAAAAATTGTGTAGCTCCAAATGTTTCTGACTACAGTTTCCATCAGTTGCAGTTAACATGGCTAATGATGGACATCATAGGACATCAATAAAATATCAAGTTAAGGGAGATGTTTAGTGTAGAGTAAAAAATAACAGCAATCTTTTGAAGAATTTGGTACGAAATTGTGTGAGGGGGAGGATGCGACATGCAGAGGTTTGGATTATAGCACAGGATCTCTGCTTTAAGTGCGGGAGGAAAAAATAACCTGACCTGTTTGTAAACAGCATGCCCAGTTTAGATAGCCAGGATTTCTAGTTCATCTGGTTGAACTGAGCATATCCTGGAGTTCTGGTGAAACTTACTTTGTGTGTGTGTGTGTGTGTGTGTGTGTTGCAATGTGACCCTGGGCTCAGGAGCAAGTTTTTTTGAACTGGTGGTGGTAGGGTATTATTGAGTCAATGCGTAGAGAATGAATCTGTCAATAAATGCTTTTTTCTTCTTCTTTTGACAGCATCCTTATATTTATAAAGTCATTTTTGCAACAGCCAGTGAGTCTTCTGCACTAGTAATCAGACCCTTCAATGAAAAAGGAACACTGAAAGACCTGATATATAAGGTGGTGGAAATATGAATAATCTGGTAACATAGGGTTTTCTGTTTATCCCAGATTATCTGGTAGTGGGGACTCATAGTTTAAAGTTGAAAACCTGGGATATAGAGCCTGTCTGAAAGGGCTCATAGAGACTCTGTAGGAGTTGCTCTGCTGAATTGATTCCTGAATTAGTCATAGTTCAGGTAGATCCACTGAATTCAGTGGGACTTGCATAAATCAAACCTATGCAAATTACACTGAGTTCATTGGGTCTAATCTGAGTATATGTGGTCTTTGTTTCCAAAAGGTACCAAATCCAAAATAATTGAAAAATGAGTTATAGGTGACACCAGATGGTTGGCTAAGAGCATAATATTATGTTCAGATCAAAACTATCAAAATATATTAAATCGTTTCAGTACAGGACTTGGAAAAATGCATTTTATAGCAAAAGAATGCATAACCTCAGCATGCTTTTTCCCCAGATTCCTGTAAATTTTTTTAGATGGATTAGGCACCTTGCAAACAAGTTCCACATATGTGGGCTTGACTCTATGGTTAGAAAAACTCAAGTTAGTTTCTAATTAACATTACTCCTCTATTTCATGGGGAATGGATTTTTTTATAAATATCCCTATATTCTTTTGACATTTTAATTGGAAGATAGTATTAGAAATAACTATTTTAAAGGGCATAAGGAGGAATTACCCTCCCATCTAAAAGATATACAAAACGTGAGGTTAAATTTCTTTAATCAAATACCAGCCCTAAACATTTTCTTAGCTACATAGTAAAATAATGCTGTTTTAGAAACTAAAATGCTGATCTACTCTGTTCTATGATATTAATTGTAACTGCTATTTATTTTAAAGGCAAAACCAAAAGATCAATTTTTGAAGAAGTACTGTAACCCGAAAAAAATTCAAGGTCTTGAACTTCAACAGATAAAAACATTTGGCAGACAAATATTAGAGGCAAGTATTTTTAATTGCATAAGGTACATCAGAGAGACAATCAAATGAAGATCATATTTGTCTAAACCAGTGGTCCTCAAACTAAGGCCCGGGGGCCAGATACGGCCCTCCAAGGTCATTTACCTGGCCCTCGCTCAGGGCCAACCTAAGTCTGAAACAACTTGAAAGCACACAACAACAACAACAACAACAACTACAACAACCACAATCCTATCTCGTCAGGCAAAAGCAGGCCCACACTTCCCATTGAAATACTAATAAGGTTGTATTWGTTAAAATTGTTCTTCATTTTAATTATTGTATTTTAAGTGTTTTGCACTACAAATAAGATATGTGCACTGTGCATAGGAATTCATTCATGTGTTTTTCAAATTATAATCCGGCCCTCAACAATTTGAGGGACTGTGACCTGGCCCTCTGTTTAAAAAGTTTGTGGACCCCTGGTCTAAACAAAAGTGTAGCTGRAGCCCAATTGAGTTGTAATTTCCACATGCCCAAAATGGTATGTTGGAATGTACTTTTCAAATGGGTTTTCCAGATAAAATGCATGCCTTTTGTGCAAAGCATATAAAGGTAAAAAAAACTTACTATTCTTGCATTACATGGAGCAACACATGCTCCAGCAATACATGGAGCGAGTGTTGCCAGATGTACAAGCTGGGTTTAGAAAAGGCAGAGGAATGAGAGACCAGATTGCCAATATCTGCTGGATAATGGAGGAAGGTATTTCTGTTTAATTGACTATTCTAAAGCCTTAAGATGGCATGGATCATAATCAATTGTGGCATAATCAATTGTGGCAAGTTCTTGGTGGCATGGGGATACCAAGTCACCTTGTCTGTCTTCTAAGGAATCTGTATAACAACCAAGTAACAACAGTAAGAACTGACCATGGAACAACAGACTGATTCAAGATTGGGAAAGGAGTGAGGCAGGGTTGTATACTCTCACCCAACCTATTCAACTTGTATGCAGTACACATCATGCAACGTGCAGGGCTTGATAAATCCAAGGCTGGAGTTAAAATTTCTGGACAAAATATTAACAAACTTAGATATGCAAATGATACCACTTTGATGGCTGAAAGCGAGAAGGAGCTGAGGAGCCTTCTAACTAAGGTGAAAGAAGAAAGTGCAAAATCTGGATTGCTGTTAAACATAAACTCCCAAGATTATTGCAACCAGACTAATTGATGACTGGGAAATAGAGGGAGAAAACATGGAGGCAGTGACAAACTTTGTATTTCTAGGTGCAAAGGTTACTGCAGATGCAGGCTACAGCCAGGAAATCAGAAGATGTTTACTTCTTGGGAGGAGAGCAATGACCAGTCTCAATAAAATTGTGAAGAGTAGAGACTGGCAACGAAGATCCACATCGTTAAAGCAATAGTATTCCCCGTATAACCTATAGATGTGAGAGCTGGACCATAGGGAAGGCTGAGGTAAAGGAAGATAGATGCTTTTGAACTGTGGTGCTGGAGGAAAATTCTGAGAGTGCCTTGGACTGCAAGAAGATCCAACCAGTCCATCCTCCAGGAAATAAAGCCCGACTGCTCATTGGAGGGAAGGATAGTAGAGGCAAAGATGAAATACTTTGGCCACATAATGGGAAGACAGGAAAGCTTGGAGAAGACAATGATGCTGGGGGAAATTGAAGGAAAAGGAAGAGGGGCTGACCAAGGGCAAGATGGATGGATGGTATCATTGAAGTGACTGGCTTGACCTTGAAGGAGTTGGGGGTGGCCATGGCGGACAGGGAGCTCTGGTGTGGACTGACCAATGAGGTCATGAAGAGTTGGAAGTGACCGAATGAATAAACAACAACAAATTCTTGCATTACAAGTCAGCATCCACATGAAATATGTTCCTGTGAAGCATTTTATCTATATGATGGTACACATTTAAGACCAAACTGTTTTAGATGCAATACATGGCCAAAATCAAATGAGTCCAAATGTAGTTGTGAAACAGAGATTGTTTGGGAAGGATAGCTGGTACTGAAACAATAAACAATGACAGCATGAGAGGAAACTGGGATTTATGATACTAATGGGAAAGGAAATGATATTGAATACTAAAAACACAGCATTTTAATTAATTGTGGAGGAAAAAGTAACTTGGCGAATTATAGATAGGTTTGGTAATCGTCAATGAGTGAAAGCTTCTAAGGAATGTCCAGATTCTGAAGTTCTTGGAAGGAAGAGTCGGCATCCTTGGAATAGCACCATGTATTTTATTAAAGGAATTAGTTTTCTTTATCCAAATAATAACTTTGTTTGGTTTTCTAGGTTCTAAAGTTCTTGCACGAGAAAGGATTTCCGTATGGGCACCTTCATGCATCCAACGTAGTGTTGGATGGGGACACGTGCAGGTTGTTGGACTTGGAGAATTCATTGCTGGGACTTCCATCCTTCTATCGGTCTTATTTTACACAGTTCCGAAAAATTAATGTACGTTGGAGCAAGCATATGTATTTTATTGTATGTGGGAACTCATTAAAATTTGTAATGCAATTCAGTTGTTTTTAAACTTCTAGTTATACAATGAAAAGTAAATTAGATTGAAAAATCAGTTAAATAGCTTAGAAACAATACATAGACTTTTTCTATTGTAAGATCAAGCTGATTCTTCAATGTTAAGAGTAAGGGGAGAAGCAATAGTGAGAGAGCTGTGTTAAAAGGAAATTACATTTCAAAATCAAACAAAAGAAGAAGCCTACAAGTGATTCTTTATATGGATTGGTTTTTCCTAATTGGAGAGTGAAAATAGTAACCTGTGTCTAAAATTCACTGTAGCTAATTAATGTTTCCAGAGGAATGTTACAATGCATAATAAATCTTCAGATAGTTATTTTAGTGCTACAGAGAATCCAAGCGTATTTTTAAAAGTGCTTATTTGGAGGCCCTGTGTTACACTATTGTGCTGCACTCTCGCTATGAATCTGAATCCCAGGAGAGGGACTTCTTTAAGTTTTTGGCCTAGTCCTTCCATTGCCAGCTACTATGGCTAGCAGGTCAGTTGTAATACAAAATATCTGGATGGAAAGATAATTCTAAGTTTGTATGAGGGAAGTTATGCCTCCAGCCAGGCATTTATCATTGTTTGCCTTTTTTTCAGACTTTAGAAGCTGTCGATGTCCATTGCTTTGGCCATTTGCTGTATGAAATGACGTATGGGAGACCCCCAGATTCAGTTCCAGTAGAGAGTTTCCCCCCTGCACCATCCAACTCTGTAGGTCAGTCAACCACTTGGACCAACTTACTGTTATTATGTTTGTGTTTATTTATACCGCACTGTTCCTCTCCATAAAAGAGACTCAAAGCAGACTTCAGCAGACTTCAGGCAGGAACATTATTGATGTTTCTCTTAGATATCATTTATTTAGGTTTATTTACACAGAACTTGAAGCCTTTCTCAAGATGCCAGGATGGCATCTTTAACTGCAGTGGCTCAATGGTATGGAATCCTGAGATTTGTAGTTTGATAAAGGATTTGTAGTTTGATGGAAAAGACCTTGCAAAACTCCACCTCCCATGATTCCATAGCATTAGGCCATGGCAGGTTAAGTGGGGTCAGACTGCATTAATTCCACAGTGCAGATGCACTCTTAGCTAAGTATACATCTTCAAAGTGATGATATAGAATACTGGCCAATATTTCATAAAACAAAATGTCCTCCCCAATTTGAAGTATGTAAATAACTGTTGAGAGACCCACTCACCTATCCCACTCCTTTCCAGTCAAGACAATGTAGATAGTTCTTTGTGCCTTGATTAGTGCTTAAAATTATGCTGTGGATTTAAGTAGTACTTTTCCTTTATTCTTCCGCTTTCCTATGTTTCCTATGTTTTGGCCTCCAGCTCCCAGAAATCCTAACAGCTCGTAAACTTGATGGGATTTCTGGGAGTTGTAGGCCAAAACACCTGGGGACCCACAGGTTGAGAACCACTGGTCTAAAGGTTTTAGCATTTCCAAGACATCTAAGTTTTAAAATACCAGTTGCAGGTGCTCAGTTTCATTTTTTTATAAATTACATTGTGGTGTTGTTGTTTATAAGATCGGAAGACCTCTTTTATTCACTAATGCTGATGTTTAATCCAACTTTTTAAAAAGATGCAACAGGCTTTCGTTATGTGTGTCTATGTCCCTAATAGTTCTGCTTGATTTGGCTTCTCTGATTCTCTCCCTCTTTAGTGACTGTACTGGAATCCATTCTTTCTCCTGAAGCCACAAAAAATGGCATGCCAACCGTCTCCCGTCTCTTACAAATGCCGTAAGTCTTCATTGGCAAAAGGAAGCATATAGTATGTGCTAGAGGTTCTCATGACAGAATTTGGGTTTCATTACATGTTCATCACAAAATATTATCAATGTGACTTATTGGGATAACACCTTAAATTGTGATCTCATAGGTTGAGTGTCATGTGGCAAACAGTTCAAAAGTTTCTGAAATTCTAATGATGCCATGGCAGACCCAGGTTGAAATACATAGGAGATGCTTTTGTCCGGATGATTTGCTATACATTGCTACATCCATGAAGTTGCAATTCCTATGAGCTGATACAGAATGTCAGATGAAGGAGGAATGTAATATCACTGGAAAGTAGCACCTTTATGAAAGAAGGATAGATATTGCAGTGCATGGTACCCAACTTTTGAAAATGCATCTTCTCTTTTTACTTCAGGTTATTCAGTGATGTCTTTTTAACAAATTCAGAAAAAACACAGTTCAAGGTACAGTAATGACAATTTCCCTTTTTATAGTAGACAAGTATCATCTAGCCCTCCCCCTCCTTCATCCAAGTTACAGTCATTGATATATTGTTTACTTGATAAATGGCAGTAGATCTGTGTATAATATTAACTTTAATTCCCACTAAATATATTGGTATTAATCTCCTTGTCAAAATTTCTCACACTCCCTCTCCCTTCTCAATCTGTTTTCTTTCTGTGCATGATTTAAATCAGGCATCATCGAATTGTGACCCTCCAGCTGTTTGGGCCTTCAACTCCCAGAATTCCTGACAATTGAACAAGCTCGTTAGGGTTTCTGGGAGTTGGAGACCCAAACAGCTGGAGGGCTGCAGTTTGACGATGCCTGATTTAAATATTAAAAACATTCCTTTGAGTTCTCAAGGTTGCAGATAGCCTGAATATAAAATTATTTCACTGTGGTCCTTTGGGCTCCTTTGAAGGCATCTACAGACAACACCAGCTCTTAGGCTTAGAAATTGAGATGAGCACCACCCCTCAGAGTCGGACATGACTAGATTTAATGTCATGGGAAACCTTTACCTTACCTTTGTGCTGAAAAGATGTCACCGCCTTCATTTCCTTAAGAGTGGTGTTTTGTAAAATTGTATGCAAGCATTTAATTGTAGTACATCTGTATTTTTACTCTCTCTCCCAGCCAGACAGAAGATGTCAGTTGTCTCCATTTTTACATCTCCCTAAAGATTTTGCCATAAACTTTAGCCAACCTTACCCTATGCAGGAACTGCATTTTCAATTTTCTATAAAACATATTAACTGCCTTTTCTGTTGTCTCATTTCAAAGATTACAACAGTAAATCAGAAGACACAGTTTGCCAAATAAGATTGAATGACTACATCGTAAACTTCGTCCCTCTAGGCCAGTGGTTCTCAACCTGTGGGTCCCCAGATGTTTTGGCCTTCAACTCCCAGAAATCAGGGGGTAAACTGGCTGGGATTTCTGGGAGTTGTAAGCCAAAACACCTGGGCACCCACAGGTTGAGAACCACTGCTCTAGGCCGAGCATGGGCAACCTTCAGTCCTCCAGGTATTTTGAACTTCAGCTCCCACCAGCTGTTAGGAATTGTGGGAGTTGGAGCCCAAACACCTGGAGGGTTAAAGTTTGCCCATGGGTTTCAGTATGCTAGCCTACTCCTATTCTCCTAGGCCAGGGTTTCTTACATTTTTTTTTCATGCACAGCCCCTTTCCACATGAGAATTTTTTACATGGCACCAGGTATATAGATATATGAAATAAGTATAGGAATCAAATATTTACTGATAATACATGAACATTTGCAAGACTTGCAAAGCAGGCTGATTTCCCTTTTTGTGAAGTACAGCTGAAGCATTTTCTGCATGGTTCACTGCAAACACTGCATGTTGTTCCTAACAGATCTATGTAAATGGGTGGCATTCAAATACCTTTAACTGTGGCCAAGATAGTTATGACCCCAACAATGATCTAAGGGGACCCAATTTGGAGTCAGGAGTTGGGATCTATGTAAATAGGTGGCATTCAAATACTTTTCACTGTGGCCAAGATACTTACGACCCCAACATAGATCTAAGGGGACCCAATTTGGAGTCGGGACCCACAGTTTAAGAAGCAGTGTCCTAGGCTAGTCATTATGTCCAGAATAGTTTTTGCTAGTTCCCATTTGTGAGGTTGCCTATGAATGATACAGAATGGGGGATGCCTGGCTCGAGAGCAGTACGTGTGAAAAAGATCTTGGAGTCCTCGTGTACAACAAGTTAAACATGAGCCAACAATGTGATGTGGCGGCAAAAAAAGCCAATGGGATTTTGGCCTGCATCAATAGGAGCATAGTGTCTAGATCTAAGGAAGTAATGCTACCCCTTTATTCTGCTTTGGTTAGACCACATCTGGAATATTGTGTCCAATTCTGGGCACCACAATTCAAGAGAGATATTGACAAGCTGGAATGTGTCCAGAGGAGGGCGACTAAAATGATCAAGGGTCTGGAGAACAAGCCCTATGAGGAGCGGCTTAGGGAGCTGGGCATGTTTAGCCTGAAGAAGAGAAGGCTGAGAGGCGATATGATAGCCATGTATAAATATGTGAGAGGAAGCCACAGGGAGGAGGGAGCAAGCTTGTTTTCTGCTTCCTTGGAGACTAGGACGCGGAACAATGGCTTCAAACTACAAGAGAGGAGATTCCATCTGAACATGAGGAAGAACATCCTGACTGTGAGAGCCGTTCAGCAGTGGAACTCTCTGCCCCGGAGTGTGGTGGAGGCTCCTTCTTTGGAAGCTTTTAAACAGAGGCTGGATGGCCATCTGTCAGGGGTGATTTGAATGCAATATTCCTGCTTCTTGGCAGGGGGTTGGACTGGATGGCCCATGAGGTCTCTTCCAACTCTGTGATTCTATGATTCTATGAATGATCTTCCCTGCTTATAACTCCGCTTGTAAGTAGCATTCAGTGACATGCCACTGGTGGAAGTGAATAAAGCCCGAATCAGATGAGGGCATAAACTCACTATTACACAGCTAAGCAAAGGTATTGGTAACACTCTGGCAGTGATGTGACAGGGATTTCTCACTCCTGAAGAACTGCTGAATAAATAAACTGTCCTCTTGATTGTTAGGCTGCTGGAACATAGAAAGTTATGATTCAGCTCTGACAGAACAAATTTCTGGACTTAGAATTTAGTTATCAGCTGTTTGATTCTGTAACCATGCCATCATTTTTTTTCTCTTTCACTCATCAGATTCCCTCTAAATTAAAAGAAGCCCTGAAGACTGCCAAAGAATGCATAGAGAAGAGACTAGTAGAAGAACAGAAACTGGTAATATTAAAATCATTTACTCCTAGCTCTAATTGTGCGAATCTGAGATTGCCTGCCATAAATGCAGGCAAAATGTCAAGAGAGAATGCTTCTAGAACATGGCCATATAGCCCCAAAAAACCTACAACAACTCAATGATTCCGGCCATGAAAACCTTTGACAATACAAAAAATAATGTACAAAAGCCCACTGCACATTTGGAGAAACTTGGGCTTAATGCAATACTGATGAGAATATATGTTGATGTTTCTCAAAGATGTCAGAAGGTATAAAAAAAGAGGAGGTGCACTTTATTACCCAAGGCCATTGTAGCAAGAAGAGCATAAAAATGGATTTGCTAGAAGGTAGACAAATGGTTTTTAAAGCTGTTATGGGCTTTCTTTTAAATTTTACCCTCTCCTTCAAAGATTCATCAGCACAGAAGACTGACGAGAGCGCAATCTCATCACGGTTCAGAGGAAGAGAAAAAAAGGAGAAAGATCTTGGCTCGAAAAGTAAGCAGCATGATATATAAAACAGTCATCTAATAAAATGGTTGTTTCCAGTATCTTTGTTTATTGCTTAAACATAAATGAATATCTGTCTGGTTTATAACTTTAGTTTCGAAATGTATACAGGATCATCTCATTTCTGTCTTTGCAGAACATGAAGAGTTAGGAAAAGAGGGTTGGCTAGGCTGTGAGCAGTCCTAGCTGGCCCAGAGCCATTCAGTGAGGCTTAATGGTTGGGATGAAGAATCTGTGCCCCCCTAGGTAGTATTTGGTTAAAAATACCAAAATCCCTGGCAAGAACATCTGGCTACCAGTATTAAAAAAAAACCTCTAAAATCAGGATGGCAAATAAAGAGCAACACTCAAAAAACAGGGGAAATCCAGAGAAGAAACAATCAGAGCAAACAAAGGATTCCCCCAGGCAGGAAGCAGCCCAGCTTTGAACCTGCAAGGCAATTAAATGCTAATCAAGGAGGCCAATTGCAACATTCACACAAGAGTTTTCTCTCAACCTGGACAGTCCACAGATATATAAACTCACTTGCCAGATGTCTCAACCTCTAAGGATGCCTGCCATAGATGTGAGTAAAACATCAGGAGAGAATGCTTCTGGAACATGGCCATACAGTCCAGAAAATTAACAGTAACCCATTGTGTAACATTATTTTATTCCAAAATGTAACTCTTTTTCAGTCTGTTTTGGTCTCTTGACAATCTGCTTTCCAAGAGGAGCCAGGCGAGGATGGACTAGTTAGCACATTGTTGAAAGCCCATGAAGTTTGTCTGAAAATAATTATTGCTTTAAGATAGGAATAGAGAAAGAACAACCAAAAGTCCACATGTGGCCCACTTTTGTGTCTCCTGGTGCTCTCCGACACTCCCTCAAAGGCCCCTGGATTGCCTCTTCCCCACACTGTCAGACTTTTGCTCAATTTTCAGGCTGTTTTAATCTACAAACCACATGAAAATGTATGAAAATGAATGAAAAACACTCCTCTCCACCAAATTATATCTGCTTTTATATTAGCCAAAAATGCAATCAGAACACTGCATCAGCATTTGGCTCACCATCTTGACTGATGGTGTAGCAGAATACAGAGGTATATTTGGACAGGACAGGTGGATACAGTTTGCAAGGAAGTTTGAGAGATGAAGATGGCCCTTGCCCTGCCCAGTTGTCCACTCCTGCTTTTCATGGGAATGAAAAAGTCTGAACAGGTTAGGAGAAGGTTGTCCGTATACAGAGGGACACTTTCTTCTTTTCTATGTGCATGTCAAGGTAGTGAGCAGAACAGTAGGGCAAAGTTCAGACTCCAAGTCTCAGCATTACTCTTTGAAGCTAACTTCATGTTATAACCACATCAATGATCTTTAGATCCAGTTAAGTGCTGTAACTGGTACTTGTACTGTTCCAAACTGTGGGGACTAAGACTATGCAGTTTTAGCTTGGCCAACATGTCTTAATTCTAACAGGGCTGACTAGTACAAAATGACAGACAAGTTAGGAGATTGGGGCAGCGTGGAAATGAAATGGCAACAAATACAATATCTGAATATCTGAAAACTTACATTATTTCTCCCTTTTTCCTGATGTGATGTCTGAAGAAGTCTAAACGCTCAGCCTTCGAGAGTGGAGAAGAACAAACTATGAAATCCAGCAACTCAAATAATTCAGGTAATTAGTTTTTCTTGTTGCTTGTGTTCCAAGTTGTTTCTGACTTAAGGCAACTCTGAGGTGAACCTATCATGGGATTTTCTTGGCAAGATTTATTCAGAGTGGGTTTGCCATTGCCTTTCTCTGAGACTGAGGGACTGTGGCTTCTGCACAGTCACCCAGTGGATTTACATGGCCAAGCAAGGGTTTGAACCCAAACTCAAATCATGGCCAAGCAAGAGTTATAGCCCCAAACTCAAATCACACATATCAGGATGAAATACACCCCCAAAGAAGGCCTTATATCATTGATACTGATCACTGTAAGTTTCCGATAGAATGCAAAAGTGTTAGGAGAGCCGCTACACATGTCTAAATATTATCAAAAATCATGTGAATTGGTGGAGTTTGTATTGTTATATTTAGGATTACCGCACTTTTCAGTTTTCTTATAGGAATAAGAACTAGTGTAGACTTAGTGTGGTTGTGGTAGACCTCCTTACCCCGCTATCCATTGTACTTTTTGCTTGGGTTTTATTGGATTGGTTCACTGAGACCAGAAGCTAAAATTACATACATCAACTTAATATATTAAGGACTGGATTGCAAAATTTCACCTCTGTCTATAGCAACTAATGTAGGAAAACATTCTTTTTGAGGTTATAGTCCATCTATTTAAATTTGCAGGATTTTCCAGGAGATCATATTTGTAGGCAGCATTTTCCACACGCACAACTAAATTGGCCGAGTCACATAAATATTAAGAACATTCATAAGGTTGTTGCTTTAAAATGAAAAATGAAGTAAAGGAAAGCCTGACTTGGTCACAGTGGTCCATGCCTTAGTTACATCCAGAATTGACTACTGTAATGCACTCTATTGTGGGGCTGCCTTTGAAGACTGCAGTTAGTGCAAAGATCGGTTGCCAGATTACTGACTGGGGCTAGCTATAGGGAACATACCATGCCCCTACTAAAGCAGCTCCACTGGCTTCTGACAAGTTTCTGGGCTCAATTAAAGGCACAAGTTATCATCTGCAAAGCTGCTTAACCCACATTCTTATCCTCTGGATGTATTGAAGTGCCAGTTCCAGAATCCCCCCAAATTCATAGCTGTTTATTATTGAATTATACCTTATCAAAAAACGAAGAAAAATAACACAGTCATTGGAAACTGTTCATACACCTCTTACGCGATGTTTAGATTGCCCCTTGAGGGTTTTTCAAAATACAACCAAGTGTTCTGTTCATTACTACAATTTTTGGTGGTCTTATTTATGGTGGTATATTAACAACCACCTCTGACATGGAAAATAATTGGGAAAATCTCACTTGAGTAACATCACTTGATCACTTTATGTAAGAGGAGGAAAGTGTTAAATACCCTAACGGAGATGGGCTCAATCTTCATTCTATTCTGCTGTATTTGGCACTCGTTTTTGTTTTTTTAATTAATAACAAATGTCAGTCAAATTTAATGTAGAAATTTATGCAGTTGAATATATAGCTTGGACCGCAGTCTGCCTCCTGTGCTTGTTTTGGCAGACTTGAAGTTTATTTCAGTGATTCCACTGTGTCTCTTGTGAAACAGGGAAGTGAATTTTGAAACTGCCTCATTAGCAACTGTGAATGTGTTTTGTTTTTCAGCAGGCTCTGGAGCAAGTTCACCTCTGACATCGCCTTCCTCCCCTGTTCCACCTTCTACAGCAGGTGAGTTAATAGTGTCAAAATACTGCTTGTCAATTAATGCCTTGGTGCGTTGCTAAGCAGAACGTGAGTCACCATTCTCTTTAGGATAAAAATGCATGCCTAACAATTGCCCTGCTTTTGCTGGGTAAGCAAATAAAGAGTTCAGATTTGGGACTTCTCTTTGGTGGGGCAGGAATCTATGTCAGCCTTTTTGTTTAATAGCTCCCTTGGCAATTCTTGAGGAATCCTTGACCCTGTCTGCCTCATTGTCTTTCTTTAACCCCTGAAGTCTGTTCAGAGTTTGTCAAACAATATTTGCAGTACTGGCACCATGTGGATTCCATCCGTGCTCCCTGTGTGTGTTATTCAAGATTGTCTGTGTGTGTGCGGGCTGAGATTAATGGCCATCTCCTGGGTCAATAGCCCACACAGCTGTTTGACATGTCAGTAAATAAGAAAAATGTTCAAGGAACCGATGCAATTGATTTCCAGCAAGAGGGGAAGAAACTATATCACACAACACCAACTAGTGGCTGAAAATCAGATAATCCCACTTTGAAGGATTAGAATTTTTTCTTGCGTATCAGGAGTGACTTGAGAAACTGCAAGATGCTTCTGGTGTGAGTGAATTGGCCATCGGCAAGAACATTGCCCAGGGGACGCCCTGATATTCTTACTATTCTGTGGGAGACTTCTATCATGTCCCCGCATGAGGAGCTGGAGCTGACAAATGGGAGCTCACCCTACTCCCCAGATTTGAACCGCCAATCTTTTGGTCAGCAGTCCTGCCAGCACAAGGGTTTAACCTATTGTGCCACTGGGGACTCCTCAGGATTAGAACTGTACAGTAAGGACTGGAAAGGTAAAAATTTGAAGATGTCACTGCATTACAGAAAACAAAAAGCGGTAGCAAAACTAATATCTGTGAAGGCCCCAGCGTCCAACGTAGACCAGCTCTAAGGTACTAAATATAAATAATCAATAGATTATCCAATTGCAACTGTATACTAAACAAATTGCTGTTTGCTGTACTTATTTCTATTTTATAATGACTTTCTGAATATAGGTTTGCTGTCTTGTTTTGTTATGTAAATGTCCTCTGTTGGCCTGTGGGAGGGGACACGGGAATTCTTTGTTGACCTATTTTATGACAGGTAAAAGTATTTAGATCTTGTGTAAAGAAAGGGTTTATAGGTGGGCAGTGTCCCTTCTACAGTGTCAATGATATCTTAAATTGAAAGCTATTATTTTTTCCCAGACATTGCATACAAAGTAGGCTTCTAAGCTGTATAAACTTGATGGTCTGTAACAGCTTGTCCTTGTACCAATGTCTTCTGTGCTTGCTTGCAAAAGAAATGGTAACCCATTTTATACAAATGATGATGGCTGCATGTGCTTACAGATGGGAATTGTTTCAGCATGCGGATTGCAGTTCTGCTTTTGTGTGTTGTGTTTGTTTTCAGTCCTATGGAGTACTGCCACCATTTAAAAAGCATGCACATTTTTTTCAAAAACATATATCAGGGTGAATGCAAATAAATTGTTGCAAGTAACGTGCCATCTTTAACAATGCAAATAGTATCAGCTGGAGGATGCAGGACTTAACAGCACTCAAGAACATAATGGATGCAGAAGACTAGCTCTTTCTACCTTGGTGGTGGCCCTGGGGGAGAATAAAAATCCTTCATTTCAATCTGATGTTTTCCCTGGCAGGAAATCCCTCATTAGTATTAATGGGAAACTCTGGTTATGGTTTTGAAGTAGGGATTTTTCTTAGGACTAAAACAGGAGGGGAAAGGGTCACTCCCGTTCTGCACCTGATCTGATCTCATTAAAAGATTTATTATATAAAAATCTTCAATTAGAGATTCAGAATCACTTCAAGTACTATAAAGCAAATGCACCCATTAAAATAAGAGTACACTAAGAGTACACTAATGAAATTTGAAACATTTTCTGTTCCTGGTTTGAAAGTGTTATTTCCTGTTTAATTGTGCAGTAATTACCTTGAAAGTAGTTGTTATGCTCCATAAACTTCATTTTTGTGATTGTCAAAAACTATGTTGAATTGTTTGGGACTCTTGAGATATTCATTGAAAAACTACAGCAAAATGTGCTACAGGATGTCCCGCAAAAATAAAGTTTTTGCAGTTTAATAAGCTTTTTCCATGTTTTATGTTAGGAACAACTAGGAAATGACATTTATAACTGAGGAACAAAAATTGTGTTACGTAGTGTTATGCTAGTCCCCTGGTGTCGCAGCGGGTTAAACCGCTGAGTTGCTGAACTTGCTGACTGAAAGGTTGGCAGTTCGAATCTGAGGAGTGGCATAAGGTCCTGCTGTCAGCCCCAGCTTCTGCCGAACTAGCAGTTCAAAAACAAGCAAATGTGCATAGATAAATAGGTACTGCTTCTGCAGGAAAGTAACAGCGCTCCATACAGTCATGCCTGCCACATGATCTTGCAGGTGTCTACGGACAACGCCGACTCTTCGGCTTAGAAATGGAAATGAGCACCACCTCCCAGAGTTGGACACAACTAGACTTAATGTCAGGGGAAACCTTTACCTTTACCTAGTGTTACGCTAGCAAGAGGTTGCATTTAAATATCTTCAAAACCTATGTATAAATGCATTGCATGAAAGTTTACAGTGGTAGCATCTGTACAATGTACCTCAAAAAAATTCCATTGCCTGTGCTGTCTTAAAAACTATGTCACAATCAGGTAGAAACGCTGTTGTTAAGGTTAGAAGAAAAGTGTCCCTCTGGTTGCATACAAAGGTGTATACCTTGTTCTTTCCTATCCAGATTGTTAGCTGCATCAGGGAAAGTACAATATTTATTACAGAAGAGCTGTAAGCCAGTCGTCCTCTGATGGCAATGCCACATGCCTGGAAATGTTTACTATTAACCTTTAAAATGCTTTCACAGGATGGTAGAGCGAAAATGTGCAGTGTTCATATCACCCTTGCCCTCCATCATCCCCTTCTTTCTTAAACCAATTTCCCCCTTTTCTAAAGTGAGAACCTTTTTGAGATGATACATCACAAGTAACCTGCAACCACTGAAATTACTGTTATTGAGTTTTCAAAACTGTCATTCGATTTGTAAAGATGGGTATCTTCCCTGTCACTATTGAAACAGCTGGTATGTGGATCTATTCCTGTGGTAGATGAAACAGTCCTCAGAATAATAATAATAATAATAATAATAATAATAATAATAATAATAATAATAATAGATAAAGGAATGATAACAGTTGGATCCAGAATGCAATGGCTGTAATTATTTCTTTAACCTTTCATTGAAAAACAGCCCTCAACATTCTGTTTGCTTTACTTATTTAGATGCTGGCAGATATTGTTGCATAAGTATCTATAACTTTTGGTCTTCAGTGCATGTACTTTTGAATGCTTGTTTGCATGTTTTGGGGTGTTTTTGAGGGGAGTACTGTGCTTTCACATTTTTCTTTTAATTTAAAAACCCAGGTTTATTTTGAATCACCGGTGGAAAGATGGTTTATAGGAATAAGAGATAATATCATATATCCTTTTGTATAAATTGACTTCATATATAAGTTGAATGAAGGTTTTATGGCCAAAATTATGGATTTTGATATAATCTGTGGATAGGCTGAGGGCCATTCTGCAGAGAAGGGAAAGCCTTTTCTGATTCCTGTTTTTGGTAAGAGCTAAGGCAGTGGTTCTCAGTGTGTGGTCCATGGACCACTGGTGGTCCACAAGAACTAAAATAATGGTCCACAGCCTCACCATTACTACACTGTTGCAATGAGAGCAACTGGTCTTGAGAAACCCTCTTATATTGTCAAGGCTTATTTAATATGGTTTTCTCTGGGTGAGTAGGTGGTGAATAGTGGATGGCATATGTTCTGTATCAGAAACTAGTGCTGATGTGATCAATGCAGTTTTCTGAATCAGCTCCCCAAATAATCAAACCAGATCTAAAGTTGACAAAAAACTGAATCGTGACCCCTTTGGTACTACTGTTGGAGAGTGGTCCCTGGTCAAATGGTCCCTGGTCAAAAAAAAAGGTTGGGAACCACTGAACTAAGGTATGCTTCTTACATTGATCTGTGGATATATTAGCCCAGGTTTTTGAGTTTGATTTTTGATTAAATGTTCTAAACTTATACATCATTATATATAGTATGTAAAACAATATATATCTTGTTCACATGTTTTCTCTTTGCCTTCCATTGATGGCTAGATTATGCTGTTATATGCACTTACTTGGAAGAAAGTCCAATTGAATGCAGAAAGTCTTTTCTGTGTAGAGATTTCTTGGCACATAAGCTCCCTGAATTGAGTAGAAAGCAAATTGTGGCCTACTAACAAGTTTCAAGTGGACTTTGACATAACAGACCTGCCTAACAAGACACTTTGATTTTTAAATAGGATTGCAAGATCTAGAAATACAAAATAGTAATACCTTCATATGTGCGCTGAGTTGATGATCTTTAAACACATTGGTCAGAAAGAACATTCAAATGTTAAATAAAAAACATTTGGTCATGTCAGGTTCAACTTGGCCTCTGCTTCTTTCTTATGAAGGCTTGGGCTCTTCCCTTTTCTTCATTTGTTGCAATGATTGTTCTGCCAGATGAACCAAATACACCAAGAAAGGAGGTACCATGGGTAGTTTGAGAAATGAAACTGTCCATTGGCTGATATGTGGCAGCTGTGACAGACAGCTCCATTCAATTACAGTTGAGTCTGAGTTTTTATCCTGCACACTTTTGATTGCAGAAGGATTTCCCAGTAGAGTCTATAGAGTCCTTGGGAGTTTTGCATTGTAGCCTACACTGAGTCTTACAGATGAAGTGGAACAGAAAACAGTTATTATATTGTACAGTTTCTTAGACTTTCTTGTTATAGGCACATTCATTTTTATAGTGAGAGATAGCATCTGTGAACACTGTTAGTTGGATGAAAATCATGAATATATATGCACAACCCAGTTCCCAAACCATGTGCAGCTCCAATAAAAGATTTCCAGGGGCTA